CGCCCTCCCCGCGCGCCTGCGTAGTGGCGCCGGCCGGCAGGGCGTGATGGCGGCCGCGCGACGGTAGGAGGTGAACCGCACCCGAGAGCCGCTGGCGGACCCGCCCCAGGCTCGCTGGCTCTCGGACGACGGGACCTACCCCCGCAACCGGACCCGGCGACCCGGCGACCCGGCGGGGTGGGGAAGCGAGGCGGGCGCCGTGGGACGCACGTGTCACGGACAAGGCAGCGCTTCCGGAGATGCGCCGGGCTGCGCCGGAGGGCGCCCCGAGGTCGGCGGGCGTGTCGCGTCGTAAGCCACGCCCTTCCACCACTGCCGCGGGGTCCGCCCGACCAGCGCCTTGTGGAAGGCGCCCTCGAGCGCGCGCATGCGCGGCGGGCGGGTGGAAGGTCGGTGTCTTGCACAGAGGGAGGAGAACGGAGATCTCCCCGGGTCCCTCTGTGATGGAGACGGGGGATCTGTGGCTCTCCCTAGCCTGAGGCACCCGCAGCCCTGCCGGACAGCTAGACGGTCAGCCGCGACTGTGGGGAGGAGGATTTGGTGGATCGAGGGCCCTCGCCACCTCGGAACTTACACTTTCAAGCAGATGTTGAAACCGTTTTCTTCTGTAGCTCGCGCGTCAGAGGAGTTTGTGTTTGTGTGGCAGATGTTAGGAGCACAGTAATCAGAAGGGGCCATCAGTTTGACAAGCCGGAAGCTCTTACGTGATTTTCTTGTTAAAAATACAACATGAAATTAAAAAGGGAATCGGGAAGTTTGGAAACAGGAAGATAAAATTTACAAATGTCAAGGCATTGGACTTCTCTAATGCATAAGTCAGTTAAGCACTGTGGTATAACAGTGCTCTTCCTTTTGCCTCAAAACCATCTTACACACTGAACTAGCTTCCTAGGGTTGCATAACAACTAACGCAAACTGAGCGCTTTAGAAAAATGAAAACTCCTGTCCTTGTTCTGGAAGCTAGGACTCTGCTCCCAGAGAAGACACTAGGAAAGGGTCTCTAGGCCTTCTCTCTTCTGGTAATTCTTTGAATTGTGACAGCATAACATCAACCTGCACATGGTATTCTCCCTTTGTGACTGAAAGTCTTTTTATAGAAAGACTGGTCATACTGAATTGGGCGACCATCTTCCAGTATGACCTCTTTACCTATGTCTGCAATTACCGTGTTTCCAAGTAAGGCCACAGTCTGTGGTATTAAGGCTTCGGCCTTCAACGTATGTTTGGGAGTGGGGAGACCACTCATCCCACCAAGCGCCAGTCACGTTCCACCTTACACACGTTTTTCTTATGCCCTAGAAGGCCACCCCTGGCCATTGCGTTGCTGCTCATTTTCTGACCCTCTTTCTCTTTCCTTGACATTCATTAATCTCTTCCAGATTCTCAAATTCATCTACCTTATTTTTTCTGCTACTTTCTTTTCATTTAGATATCTCGATAATTTCATAGAGCGTCTATCTTTCATTTGGATGTATGAAGTTAAATTAGAAAAGCAGCTGAACTGGTTTTGTAACCTTCCCACCTGACACTAATTTAAGCATTTTTGTTCTATTTGAATCCATAAGCCATCCATTTATTCTTCATACCATTTAAAACCACAGGGCTTTTCCAGGCATCATCTCTGCACTGAGCCCCAATGCACTGGCTGTCACCACCATAGGGAGACCCAGTACTTAACCAGTACTTAGTGTTACCATTGTGGAATGGACTAATGCCTTGCACACACAGTACTACCTCTCTTCCCTTCACCTTTCTTGTCCTTTTATAGGACTATAACAGTTTTTCATGTCTTTATTCAACGGTTACCCATATGAGACCTTCACTGGCTATATTATGTAAATGTTAATACATCCTCCCACTTCATATCCCCAGTTCCATAAATTTATTTTCTCCTTCACACTTAGCATTTAGATATGTGGGTTTGGCTCCCTAAGGGCAGAAATTGTTGTCTTTGTCATATTTGTCAGTATAACCTCAGTGTCAAGAAACAATGCTGGAACGTAGCAAATGCTTAATCTTTCTGTATGAATAAAGGTCTTTTCATACTTTTTCCTCAAGATTTTATCCCCAAAGAGCAGGAATGGTGTTAAGATTCTCTATAACCTCTAGCACCTCACCACATAAAATTATTCAGTAAATATGTATACTAGTAATAACTACCCTATATTTTCTCCTTCTCAAACTATGGATCCTCTACTATGGGGAGCATTTGTATTAATTTCTTCACTCTGTTCATAGAAATTTATTGAGAGCATACTGTGTGCCAAGCAAATCCAACTATGGTTTCTGCTTTCAAGGTTAGGTACTAGGAAGTTTGCTAGTACTTTGGTGTTGAGCACAGAAATAGCTGGAAAACAGTGTCCTGACATAGGACCTCCAAATGATACAAGGGAAATATTATAACCCCAACCTGCTAGATGTCCAGTGTGCCAAGTTTGTGTTCCCCAAAATCAAAGAATGAATTCTGAGGAACAATGGAGGTTAAGAGTAGGACATTTTGTTGAGGAAAAGACAGCCTGCCTGAGTGGGACAGGACGGGACCTGGAAAGTGGGTTGCCCGTGAGCCCACTTGGCAAAGGAAATTTTATAGAGCAAAATCAGAGGTGGGTACAGAATTACAGGGTGGAGACAAGGTGGGTCAAAGCTATGTTCGATAAGATTACAAGTATACCTGCTTAGGTCATGTTGATACAGTGGGGAAGCAGGTCATACAGCAAGTGTGCATGGAAAGAACAAGGGTCTTTCCTGGAAGGGGTGGGTGAGAAAGTATTGGTCCCTTATCCAGGTGACTGATGCCTATTTAAAATATCCATCATTATTGTTTATTGCTGGGGGAAGTATGTAGGTGTAATCATTCCATCTTTATCTTGAGGCCTGGCCTTTAATGAATGTGTCTCCAGCCACAGTTGTGATGTGTTCTTATCTTCTGCACTGACTCCTTTGAGGGCCCAGCCCTTTCTAACCAGCTGTAATATGTCTACCTAACTTAGCTGTCTATATTATTCCCCCTCTGAGCCAGGTGTGGTGGTGCATGCCTGTAATCCCAGCACTTGGGAGGAGGATTGTTGTGAGTTTAAGACCAGTCTGGGCTACAAAGTCAGTTCAAGGCCAGCTTGAACTGCATAGAGATATCCTGTCTCAAAAAGACAAAAAAAAAAAGAAAATTCCGCCTCTGAAAAAGTATTCTTAACTGCTGTGAGGGAGCAAGAGGCAATGACTGTTTTGTACCACTGGATGAAGGCAGTGGTTGTCATGATTGGCAGTCAGAGATGCTCCACAGAGGGTCTTTCTAAAGGCTTTTGTTTTTTTTTTTTTTTTGGTTTTTCTCTGGTACCGGGAACCGAACTCACAACCTTGCGCTTGCCAGGCACGCGCTTTGCCACTGAGCTAAATCCCCAGCCCCTCTAAAGGCTTTTGTTAAACACAAAACATTTCTGTCTTGGATAAGTACATAGCTTTTGCATGGGCCAAATAATAAGATGAACAAGTTTATTAGGAATACAACCAACAAAAGTTTCCACCAGGAAAAGCCAGAATAGCTTCCCACAAAGTGAGTAAGGAGAAGGTCCAAGGAATTTCACAATCCAGCTTGGCATTAATCTGTCATTTAGTATCTTCAATAGCCATTGATATTAGCAGAACGATCAGGAATGTACGTATAACATTCAGCTTTTACAGATACAAATAATCCCTGATGCTGCTGTTAGAATGCCTAATGTTCTCCAGTTTTGGAGGATGGCTTACCCCATTAATTTTACTTCTTCATTCAGGAGGGAAGGACCAGTTGAGGGGTCATTTAAGGCCTGGTAAGTATGGTTAGTCCAGGCCTCGATGTGTTGCATGACATTCTCTAGCCCTAGGGAAAGGATAAAGATAGAAGTCAAATGATCATGCCAGTGAAACACTCTTCTAGACTATTGATGCCATAGGCAGGGTAGGTTTGCAGGTTTGTCAAAACTTTTGACACTCCTGCCTTGTCACCACACATGTCCAGTGTGCATCTCCTTATCCATCCAGGGGGTAGCCAAGACCACAAATTGGTTCCACAGGACCAATGAATGTCACTGGGGGTTTCCCATCTAATTCCAGGGTGAGTAAACCAGTCTGTTGCAAACCAATCTTTGACCTGTAAGGTTATCATGTGTATACACTGATCAGGGATGTCCATCCCCCATGTCTTGGTTACTTTTCTCTCGTTGCTGAGACAGAATACCCAACACCCAAAATGAAGGAAGGAAAGGTTTGTTTGGCTCACAGTTTGTGGAGGTTTCAGTCCATACTTGGTTGGCTCCGAGGCAGAAGACAGCAAAGCAACAAGAGCAAAGGGGGGAATGGCAGCCGAACAGCAAACAGCCAGAGCAAAACCAGAGGAATGGCGGCAAGCAGCTTCTTTCCCTGCCTTACTTTGTAAACAAGCTACCCCCACCTAAGGGGCGTGTAGGTCTCACATAATCTCCATGCCCTCCTCTTCCACAGGCTCAGGATGTATCCAAAGTAAGCACTCTGGCTTCCTGCTAAGTTACTTAGCCAAACCTCTAGACTCCCCAAGTTGACACAATGTATCAGCCATAACACCCCATATTTAGTACAGTTAGGCCAAAGAGAATAAGAGTGATGTCCCAACATAAGGAGCCTTTCTACTAAGGTGTCCTATAGCGGGGGTTAACCATAGATCTCATACCTGAAAATAGTTGTCTTGGTATCTATTTTTGTTGACCCTCAGGGCAGGACCCTTACTCTTACTTAATAGGGGTTCTACTAGAGTCAGTAAAGAGGTTCACCGGCATTCTAAGAAAAAATTGGATTATGTCCAGAATCATTAAAAGTGTAGTTTATAGGCCACTCAATTACCTTGTAACAGTGGGCCAAACTGTGAACCACTGAACTTCTTTGTATCTCATCAATGTTATATTGTAGCTTATTCCAATCATCTCTTTAATGTGCTAGTACCCACCAAGGAAGCCCTGAGGTACTTGACAAGAGGAGCAGGCTGCGTATCCAACAAGATGTTTGTTATAATGACTGCATATTCCTGTGCCCATCTTAGGAAGGAATTGCATTCTCCTTTAAGTGGTAGAGTAATTACTAAAAGGGCTATGAGTAACATCTTAGATTACTTATCTGAAGATTTTGCTTTCTTTTTAAACAAGAATTTTAAGTTTTCTACAGTTTCACAAGAGTATTCCAATGATGGTTCCTCACACTCAGCAACAGTCTCTGGTCCCCAGGATTTGAGTCAGTGTGGTATATCCAGGGGACCAGGCCTGCTACCTTGGCAGCTGATGGAGTTGACAGGATCACAGTGGATGGTCCTTCCCAAGGGATGATGAGGGAAGAGACTACCAGTATTAAGTCTCTGGGGTGGAATATGGGATTTCCCTTTTCTTTAGGCTGAGCTTCCGTTAGTTGTTGAAGAGTCTGTTTGAATTTAGCCAGTGAGGGGACATCCTTCAGTAAGGCATCTGTTTCTCTATCGAAGAAAAAAATCATTAGTGATAAAAGAGCATCCATATGGACTGAGGCCTAGGATTTGAGGAGCATTTCTTACTTTGATGAGAGCTAAAGGTAGTAAGTGAGGCCACTGTAGGTGGATCTCGAGCCAGTTTGCAAAGGTGTCTCTTTAGGGTCTCATTCACTTTTCTACCTTTCCCAATGATTGTGGTCTCCATATACAACGGAATTGATAGAGAATGCCCAGTGCCTGAGAGACAGCCTGTGTGACTGTTACTTTAAAGGAAAGCCATTATCACTCTGTAAGCTCTTTAGAAGTATAAATCTGGGTATGATTTCTGGGACCAAAACCTTTACCACCTCTTGTGTCTTTTCTGTTCTACAAGGAAAGTCCTCAACCCATTTTGTGAAAGCATCTACCCAGATGAATAAGTGCTGATGTCCCCTACTCTTTTTTTTTCCCCTACTCTTTGACTTATGAGTAAAATCAAACTGCCAGTCTTCTCCAGGGTATTTACTGTATCTCTGTGTACCTGGAGGGACTATGGTCCGGTTAAGAAAATCGTTCTTTTGGGAGAGCTCACATGTCTTCACTATCTGTTGCATTGTCTGAGAAAGTCCTTTGCTATGAATAACTTTGAGGCTATTTGATGGTTCTTATCTCTCCCAAGTGAAAGATTTTATGTAAATACTTAATAATTTTTCATTGATTAGAAGCAGGAAGAAACAATTTACCATAATCTGACTGTAACCATCCTGATGGGAGGACTGACAACCATGGAAGAGAGCCCATTTGATTTTTGACTGAGAACACTTGAGTCAAGTATGATCAAGGAACCCTTCCCAGATCAGGGGGGTCTGAAGGAGGGCCCTCAAACAGCTTCCTTTGCAGCTACATTAGCCAATTGATTACCTTGAGATACTTTGTCAATTCCTTTGTGGTGTCTTTTACAATGATACTTTATGGAAGAGCTACTGATTGTCATAGAATTTCTTTTCATATGGCTATGTGGGCATGCAATGTTAGGAAAGCATAGTTTGAATCAGTATAAATATTGACTTTCTATCCTTCACTGAGTTGTAAAGCCCTGGTGAGAGTTGTGAGTTCTGTTAGCTGAGCACTAGTCCCAGGGGCAAGTGAGGAACTTTCAAGTGTCTGATGTAGAGTCATACTCTACACCCTGCCTTTGTTGTCCTATTTTCCATAAAGGAACTGCCATCACAGAAGAGGGTCAAATAAAGATCAAGAAGGGGTGTGTCTAACAAGTCTTCTCTGGTTACATACACATGGAGAATTACCTGCTTGCAGTCATGTCTTTCAACCTCAGTTTCCTCCTTTTCGGGTAGAAAGGTGGCAGAGTTTGAAGAGCTTGTCTTCATTTGGATGGCTGGTCCTTCTAGAAGTAGAGCATGGCATTTAAGAAGTGAGTTGTCTGATAGCCATAGGCTCCTATTGGAAGAAAGAAGTCCTGCCCCATTGTGAGGCATATATACAATAAGATCTTTGCCCAAGTCACCTTGGATGTCTCTGGTACCAGGAGAGCTATGACAGTCACAGCTCTAAGGCACACAAGCCATCCCTTTGCTATGTTAATGTCTAATTCATAACTCAGATACCCTACAGGTAGCTAAGCAGGTCCCTGATCCTGTGTAAGTGCTCCCAAAGCCATACTTTGGCTTTCATCAACGTACAAATTGAAGTAATGTTCTGTTGTAGGCTCAGTGCTGGAGCATTTATGAGTGCTTATTTAAACTGCTAGAATGCAGTTTAGGAATCAGGGGAAAATATGGGTATCCACCTTTTGGGGCTTCCTCTATAAGCTGATAGAGGGTTCATGCAATCTCACCATATCCTGCTATCCAAAGGAGACAAAAGCCTATAATTCCTAGGAATCTCCTTAGCTGTTTGAGAGTCTTGGGCTGTGGGAAGGAAAGAATTGGTTTAATTCTCTCTTCTCAGACTTTGGGCTTCCATAGATATGATGAGGGTCAAGTGTTTTACCTCAGGGCTGAAAAGTTGTGCCTTAGACCTAGAAACCTTATAACCTCTGTCTGCTAGAAAATTCAGCAGGACACAGGTACCTTGGCTAGAGAGCTCTTCTGAGGGGTCACACAACAGTATATCACTTACATATTGCAAGACTGTGACTTGGGAAAATTTAAAACATGCCAAGTCTGGGGAAGCAGTTGACCAGATAGATGACAACAGTCTGAATCCTTGAGGAAGCACAGTCCACGTCAATTAAGAGGACTGGTCATGAGGACTTTCAAAGGCAAAAAGAAACTGGGAATGTAGACTGGGAATGTATGGGAATACAAAAGGAGGCATCTTTTAAATCTAACACTAAAAACCAGCCTGCATCTTTTGGGATCTGAGAAAGGATCCCGGTACCACTGGGTGGATTGGCATCACTGCCTCTTACCAGTCTAAAGTCCTGCACCAGCCTCCACTCCCCATTGAATTTTTGAACTTCCAAGATCAGAGTGTTGCATGGGCTATTACAAATTTTATGTAAACCTTGTGCTCTTAAATTATCGATTACAGGCAATAGTCTTCTTTTAACTTTAGGTCTTGGTATTGTCTCTAGTGAGGAGAAGTAGTAGGATCTTTGAGATGATTTGCACTGGGCAGCTCTTATTTTTCTATATATTCTACCTTTAGTTGCCCATACTTCGGGATTTATTTCTGTCACCATAAGGGGAGGCGGCAGATCTGACCTGAGTGCATGTATATTACAGTATTCAAACAAGATAAAATAGCGGTTCCCAGTAGGGGACCTGGACTTCAAGGTATAGTTAAAAAGGAATGAGTGAAGAGAAAGCCATCCCAGTTACAGCCTAAGGGTTGTGAAAAATAGTGTGTTGTCTCCTTTCCAGTGGCTCCTTTCACTGAGATATGACAGAAGAAAGGCCAGGATTAAAAAGAAGGACCAAGAGATATGTGTCAATGTCCAGCAATAGGCTGGTTTCTTTTCCTTAGAGTCATGATTACCTGCAACTCTGTGGAGATGACAGTCTGGCCAGGAAGAGAAGGTAGAGAGTGCCCCGAGGCCCTTCAGTCTTGCTGGACCAGCTGGTAAGATGGGTCTGATCTCTGGGTCCTCTGCCTCAGACAGCAGTCAACTTCCAGTGGTCACCTTTGTAATCAGGGCATGAGTCAGGGGGCCTCTTACAACAATGGTCCCTCCTAAGGTGGCCTGGCTTTCCACAGCATAGCAGGTAACTTTAGTCATTGAGCTCTTCTTGGAGCCCCAAGAATCAGACTTAGGGTGTATTCCTTTTAACATCACAACGAAGGGAGCTGCTTTCTTGTGATCTCTTTGTTTTTGCCCTTTGGCCTCCTCCTGCTCACAATTATAAAAGCCTGAGGAGACAGTTCTCACTAAAGTATCAGGTGAGCTATCTGGAGCAAAAGCTATCATATGTAGCTTTTTCCTAATGTCTGGAACTGTCTGGTTAATAAACTTGTCTTTAAGAATAATCTGCCCTATCAAATCAGGAGCCAGGGATATACATATGTTTCATCAGTGCCTCTTATCTAAGAAGGGTTCTCATCTTTCTCCTGATGAGTAGTTGACAATTTAATTAAAACATTAATTTAATTTAAACATTAGAAACTGTTTGACCCTCACATATTGAGAAAGAGTAGTGGAATTTTCTGTACCCATGAATGGCCTGCCTACCACCTGGAGGTTTTCTCTCTTTGGAAAAAGCAGGTCCCAATGTTCCTAAACTTGATGTCAGTAGAGAATTAAAGAGGCTGTGTTAAAAGTAAAAGAAGATTATTTATTTGCAGATGGGAAAGAAGTAAAGAGATGACAGACAGCTACTCAAACCAAGCAGAGAAAATGTGAAAGCGAATTGCTCCTGCGCTCTGACCACCATAGGTTTCTTCTGCCTATGTGAGCTCCTGGGATCCATTTGGCTCCCAGGCTTGTCTTTGGCTTTAACCTTGGATTTCTTTGGCCATGTGACTTTTTCTTGTCCTTTGGTGCTGGGGTAAGACTGTGAGTGGGGGCCTTAAAGACAGATTACTTAGATTTAAGGATTAAATAAAGGGAAAGTTTGTGATTCTTATGTTAATCATACTATCTGGGACCTTTCCAGAGCTAGTTTTTTCACCTTTGTCTTCCCAGCTGCTGGAGTATAGCTGCCTTTGTGTTTCCAATTGTTGGTGTCCAGCTGACTTTGCCTTTCCAGTCTGGGTGCAGAGTCAAAGTTGTCTATTAATTTTTAATAAAGTTCAATGAGACTTTTGTTCTACCTTTTCCCTTCCTTCAGGGTCTCTGTCCCTATACTATCACTTCACACTAATGTCAACACATTTCAGAGAAGTATAAACTTAGATTATGTATATGTTTATATATTTCAAAAAATCATTCTACCAGTTGTTGAGCATCTCTTCTAAGCTCAGTTCTGCATTAGAAATAATTCTAGATATATATCATGCAAAACAAGACAGTAAGACCCCTGTATTTTTAAAGTCTCTTCCTGTTAGAAAAATCTCCTAAGTCTGTAAATGCAAAACATACACAAAGTAGTCAAGGAAGTCCAAAATGGCTTCATAAGGAGAGGGTATTTAAAGAATGGATAGATTTTTCTTTGGAGATGGGAAACAGTAATCTATGCCACAAGAAGGAAACAGCATGAACTAAGACACATATATGTCATATTTATCAGACTAATAACAAGGGTGCCTATTGTAGAATATTGGAAATAAGCCTGGAGATTTAGTGTGAGGAAAAGATTGGGAGGGATTGTAAAAGCCAGGCAGAAGAACTTAATACAGTAAGAAATAAGGAATCATTGAAAATTTCAGAGAAATAAAATGACGTGGTTAAAACAGTATTGAGGAAGAAATTGTGCCTTAAGGAAAATAATATTTATTATAGTAGGAGTAATGTTGTAATTCAAATAATATTGGGAGTATGTGTTATTCTCTAGGAGGTAGGTATACAGGGAGAATACGACCCAGATTTGGCCATTGAGAAGCATAATGGTAAAGAAAGTAAATAGTTAAATACAGTGCTGTGACCACCACAGTGGGCAATGTGGAAGAACCAGGCAGCACATGTAGCCCATCAGAGAGAGAAGACCTGGAGAAGATGCCATCCAACAGAGAGGACTAGCAGTCTAGGCAGAGCCATCTGTGCCTGGAAGATGGTCTCTGCCTAGAAGCAAGGGTAAATCTGAGGAGCACACAATCTTTTAAATGTGAGGAATATCTTTCTCATGAGGTTGTTTCTGGTAGAGGCTTTTAGCACTACCAACTAATATCTCCATTTCCACCCTACGCATCCACACATACAGATTCACAGGCATACAGACTCAGAACAGTTAGAACAGTTAGAAACAAAGGAGTGGAATGTTATAGTTTGTATGAATGTTATGGTTTGTGCCAAAAGCCTCATATGGTCACAGGGGATTAGGCTTTTCCTGGGTGGCCGAGTCTAGAGTTTGTGATTGGTTCATTGTCTAGTGCTGGGATTTGGGATATAAGTGCTACACCTGTGCTAGGGTGGGTGGTCTGCATACAATACATGGGAGGAGAAGAGGCTTGCACCTCCTGCTTTTTGCTCTTGTTGCTTCCATAACCCTAAAAAGGGGAAGTTGTGTGAGCCACCTCCCTCCTTTCCATTCAACCGTAAATACAACACCACACTAATGATTGTTCAGGTTTCAATTTAGGAGGTCACACAGATTGCTGATCGCAGTAAAGTGAAACAGTAGGAGGCACCTAGGACCAGTGGATGGCTAACCCTATAAATACTGAAAGCCTGAGTTACAAAGCTCTTTTTTGCCCACTTCGTCCTTCTGCCCATTGCTGCTTCTGCCCCCAAGACCTTCAATAAACTTGCTACACACAACAAAGTGTACACTTGGCAATTCTTTCCTTGTTGTGCACAAGAACCTGGACCATTTTGGCCAACTTAACTGTATCAGACTCACTAAAGAAACCCTCTAGGTCTTCAAACATTACATTCTTCCTACACTGCCCAGCCTAAGACAAAACTGGGAAATAACTGAAATTAATTTTTGTTGTGCTTAGGATTATCTATGTGTCAAACACTCTCACATAATAATAATATATGAGTTAGGTATTTTACAGATAAGGAAATGGTGAATCAAAATATTCTAATTCATTTGACTAATGTCACATGACCAGCAAAACATAGAGCTGGAATTTGAACCAGCTCTGCTTTCAAAATGCATGTTCCTTCCATTTCATCATGCTGCCCCCTTTAAATTTATCTCTTCACCAGTAAGATCACTTCCAGTATGATACAGCATGAGAAAGAGAGGTCTGTATTTTACCTGCTTCTCTGTAATGGCAAGGTTACCTGTTGGGTTTGGTTTCTCTCAAGGAATGTATTCCTTTCAGAGTGATAGAAAGCTAGTCAAGTATCTATGCCAATAAGCCAATAGCCATCCTTTCCAAAATATTGCAGAAACATATAAGCATGTTAAGAATCTTTAGATAAAAAAGAATTCAAAACACTTTTGACAAGATTATCCTGCTTTCTTCATGTACTTTTATGTAGATAAAATCACCAGTAATTGCCCACTCTGCCTATGCTTAGGGCTTTTCCGAATCCTCTCTAAATGCCCACTCTCTCCCTTACAGGTGTTCTCTTCCATCCTCTTGAAAGTTCACCTAAAGCCTCAACATCCTTTAGGAAATATTTCCTAACTTAATCCATCTGATTTGAATTAAGCAGTTAATTCTTACCAAGCTTGTGTAATAAAGACCTGCTCATTCAGCCTTCTGAAGAGAAAAGCTGCATTAACCAGCATGTCTATTTACTTACAGTTCATTACTAATTGATTTTCACAATGATGACCTCAGTAGGTTGCAAGATTCTGAAGTACTAAAGACTGAATAAAGTTTGCTTAATGTAGTTGGATTAGTTTTCTGTGCTGTAACTGTGGGAGACCAGACAGTAAGAATTTAGGCCTAACTGGCCTCATCTGTGAACACTAAGGAGCAAGGGGGCATAAAAACATGCTAGCATGTTGCAGTTCTAGGGAAGAGTCAACACAGCTGAGATCTGGTTGTTTACCCAGACGTGTACTATGGATGGTAGGAGGCAAAGGAATCTTGTGTTACTCTAATTGCTTGTTTCTGTGTCTCAGTGAATAAAGGCAGGGTGAGCCAATTACTTGGGGCTGTCTGTCTAAGGTAGACAAGAACCCCTTGAACCCCCACATTTTAACCCAATTCTGTGTCTCTTTGTTTTTCATCCTTGTTCAACCCTCAGTCAGGTATAAACTCATAGACTGACTCCTACACTGACAGCTGCAAATGTAATGGTCTAAAACAACCCAAAAGCTATTATCTTACAGTTCTGGAGGTCAGAAGTTCAAAATGGATCTCAGTGGGTATAATGGTTTGTGCCTGGATATCCCCCAAAATCTCATGTAGGCATGGGTGTGGACTTTCCGGGGTAGCCGAGTCTAGTTTGTGATTTGTTCATTGTCTTGTGCTGGGATTGGGGGTATATGTGCTATACCCACTCTAGGGTGGGTAGCCTGCATTCAATATAAGGGAAAAAAAGAGGCTTGCTCCTCCTCTTTGTTGCCCTTGTTGCTTTCAGTATCTTCTACCACTATGAAATGTTGCCTGTCTACCATGCCACCCTGCCTTGGAGCCAGCTGACTGGAGACTGAATCCTCCATCAACTGTGAGCTAAATAAGCCTTTCCTTCCTTAATTTTGGGCTTAAGGTATTTTGTCTTAGCAACAAGGAAAGTAAAAAGACAGAATTTGGTACCAGAAATGGGGTCATTGCTGGGGACTGTGGTTCAAGAGCCTTTGGGAATGGCTTGTGGGAAGAGTTTGGAAAGGTTCAGATATGCCACCTAAAAGAGTAGAGCTGGAGCACCTTTGCCTATTCTATATGGAACTCTTGGACAGAGCTCAGAAGACCAGAAGGCTGATAGAAATCCTGCCAGTAAGGACCAGGTTCAGGAGGTTTCTGCTGGGAAGAAGGACTGCATTGGCTGTTGGACTCCAGACAATGTGTGTTATGGCTTGACAGAAAGTTTATCTGCATTTTGCTCAGGTCCAGAGAATTTTGCAGAGACTGAGATTAAGGGTGGTGGACTAATTAATCTGGTAGGAGAAATTTCAGGGCTGTCAAATGTTGAGGTGGTGACATGGCTGTTGTTGGGGGCTTTTATCCAGGTTTCTGTTGAGAATCAAGAGTGAAAACCCCAGCAGGATGATATAAAATGTGAGTTTGGCCAGAAAGGAAACTCCAATAAAGTTGTAATCTGCAAAGGTAAAGCAGAGGAGACCTGGATTGCTCAGAAGGAAAAGGACAATAGAAGAGATGGCCTGTGGTCATCATAAGAAGCATCAGGACTCTACCCTTTGCAACCTCACCATGTTCCAGAATGGCAGTGGTCTAGAGAATTTGTTTCTCAGAATTGGATTCAGAATGCTCCATGAAAAAGCTGTGTGTGGTGGTGCACACCTGTAATCCCAGCACGCGGGAGGCTGAAGCAGGAGGATCATTACAAGTGAGCTGAAGGCTAGCCTGAACTGCATAGTGCGACCCTATCTCAAAAAGACAAAAAAAAAAAAAAAAAAAAAAAAAAAAAAAAAAAAAAAGTGAGAATGCTCAGCAATCCAGGCATTCAATCCCTGCAGCTAAGAGAGAGGGAAGCCTGGCAGCTCTTCCTACTGCGGAAGACCTTGACATTATCCATATGGTGCTGATTTTAGGCATATGCAGAATGTAAGAGTTCTGGATTTAAGAAGGCTTCCACCATGATTTCAGAAGAATGCGTGGGAGGCCAGACAGTATGCCCCTAAGAGGGCAGAATGTGAAGCCAAAGATCTAATGGAAACCCCAGAAAATCTGAAGATGCCAGGAATGTGGATTATCTAAGGAAAGCTGCAACAAGAGCACAAAGCAGGCATAGAGAGAAGCCCTGGGAGCTACCACCACCAGAAGTGCCATAGAAATGAAGTCACACAAGCCCTTTGGAGCTCACAATTTGTTACAGATTGCCTTGGATGCTGCATATGGGACTGTAGAACTTAATGTTTACCCTGCTGGATTTTGGACTTGTTTTGGTCCCAATCCTTTGTGTCTCCCTGTTTGTAACTTTTGGAATAGAAATGTTTATCTTATGCCATTTAATGTTAGAAGTGTTTAACTTCATTTGTACAAGGGCTCACAGCTAAGATTTTGCCTTACGTCTTAAAACCAAGGAGGACTCTTGTGATTATATTGAGCCCACCCAGATAACCCAGGATAATTTTCCCATCTCATGAACCTTAATTTAATCATATCTGCAAAATGCTTTTTGTCATGTAAGGTACCTTGTTCACAGATTCCAGGGATTAGGACATGGATATAGACATCTCATGGAGTAGGGAGGTATTACTGCATGGCTAATATTAAATTTTTGAAAATTAGTAAAAACTTGTATGTCTAGATGACACATAGGTGATATACATGCAAATTTACTTGATAAATTATTTCTTTAATTATGCTATAAAACATATCTTTATTTTACTTTGCTTTATATTCCACTGCTATACAGTACATTTTTCCCTTTTCAGATCTCACAATACGTTCCTTTTTCATGTCCTTTTTTCTTCTGGAAATTTTCATTAAAAAGTTCTATATATGTAAATTTTAAGTTAACATCAATGAAATATTCTTGAAATAAACATCTCTCTAAGGCATTTGAGTCTTTGGAACTTGGTTTTATGATAAAAAGAAAACCCTGCTAAGCAGCTCCAACACCTTTGATTTCTGATTTTTTAATTTTGTATTTATTTTGGTATCAGGAATCGAACTCAGGACCTTGTGCTTGCAAGGCTTGTGCCACTGAGCTATATCCCCAGCCCTTCTGATTTTTTTAGACATTGAATATGGTTTAGAAGAAGAACAAGATTAGATGACACTTGACTGTAAAAATGATCATAACCAAATAGCTTAGGCTTTCATTTTGGTGTGAAGTTGTGAACTTCATAACTTTGTAAAGGAAGATATAAAGCAAATACAAGAGGAAAGTAAAGTACTTTTACTAAGGAAAAAAAGGGGCCGGGGATATAGCTCAGTGGCATAAGTGCCTGCCTGGCAAGCACAAGGTCCTGAGTTTGATTCTGGTACAAAAAACAAACAAACTACCCCAGTTTGTGAGAAAAATTATGGGAATATGAAAATTTCACATGGAAATTAGTTATGTAATCAATTAATTCAGCTACTACTTCTTGCTTTCTATGATTTAAGCCTTGGTGCTCCAATTGTGAACAAGAAAGAACTGAACAATGAACAGATACATAGCATGTAAAGAGGTGATATGTACTATGAGGGATGCAGATTAGAGCTGTGACAGACCCAAGATGGCAGAAGGGAAGCAATCATCTGTAACACTGTATGGGAAGCCACTCTTGGAATGTGACAATGAATGTAATGCTGAAGATAAGAAGGAGCCAATCATGTAAGCCAAGAAAGAACTTTCCATGCAGAAGGAATTGCAAATGCAAAGTGCAGGAGAAAAATTATGGCTTTGTTTAAGGGAACAGAAGGCCAGAGTCATTGAAGCCAAGTAAATGGAGAGAGTGGCAAAAAGGAAGTTGTAAAGGCAGTGAAAAGTTAAATAATGTAGAAGTTGGGGCTTTAATGGGTGCCAGTAAATAAAAACCCCTTGTGTTACTGCAAAACCATGTGTGAGATGGGACTCAAGAGCCAGTAGAAGGAGATCGATCAGATTCATAAAAAACAAAAGCAGGGTGTGGTGGCACACATCTGTGAGCTCAATGCTCAGGAGTTGGAGGCCAGGCTGAACTACATAGTAACACCCTGACTCAAATAAACAAACAACCTAGCTTCATTACTGATTCTGCTAACTGGAGCACTACAGCCAAAGGGGCTTCTTAATATTCTTCCAACTGCCACCACTGGAAGTAAACTTAATTTCCCTTTTGTTCTAGGCAGAGCTGAAAGAGCCTTTCCCCTTAAAGACATGTAGAGTTTCTAAGTAATCGAAGAGACTGCAAACCCTCTTAAAGAATATGTGCCATGCACTCCAGTTTCTATTCCCTATCTCACCAGTTAGAGGAGTCCTTCTCCGGAGAAGAAATGGTTACTGAGAGAGGGTAGGAAGGTTTCTCGGGTTTTTCTTCTTGTACAGAAAATGTTCTATTATTGTGTGATGTGTGGGATAAATATTACCCCGACACTCTCATTAGATGGATCTCATAGACCATGAGACAGAATTTGAATTTCTAAGTACACACAGGAAGCATTTTTGAAAGTTCCCCAGCAGTGTAGCTGCATAGGCTGATGTGTGCTTTGGATGTATCACCGTGGCTGCTGTGGAGGGAAGTGGAGAAAAGGCAATTTCCAGCAGGCTGCTGCAAAAGTCAGGGTGAGATAAGCTGCTGCTATGCAGGGGTAGTTGTAGCAGTCTAGTTTTAGACATACTGGAGTTGGCTGATGAATTGGCTTTAGGGGAGAACCTAAGTCCAATTCCAAGAGGAATTCAGACTAACTACGTGATTTTTAGTTTAAGTGACTATATAGTTGGTAATACTATATATTTAAATGAGAAAAATTGGAAGAAAAATAATATGGCAACAGACACCTATTCCTTGGATTCGGCATTGTGAAGGTAATTGATTCAGCAAGAATATTTTCTGTGAATACTTGGAAGGGAAACTAGATTTAGAATTTGAAAAATAACTAATAAGTGACGGCTTGTACACATATTTGAAAGAAGTTTTACTATGGAAATAGGGAGAGAAATAACATATAGGCCTTTAAAATATTTTCTGTTTTTGCATTGAAGGGAATGGCCTGTTCATAAAATCAGGTAGCAAAATAATCAGAGCTACAAAACTTTTGGAAAGGCGAGATGGGATGTGACCTAGAGCTCTTTGTGGGGTGAGGCCCTGCGAGGACAACTGATGTG